AGGAAAAATGTATTTCATAATTGTAAATTATGTCTCGGTTTCCCTATTGTATACAGTTAGTTCCTTGGATTATCTTTTATGTAAACAAACAGGAAAAATTAAAATGGGAAAAATGCTTGCTTTATTTGCTTGCAAATCTCGAGGAAAAAGAATTAGACTAAAGTTTTAAATCATGGCCATCTCCTAAATCAAATGTGTAACAAGGGTGATAATGAGTATAAACACTGAATGTAATTTTATTATTCAATATAAACATTGAATAATAAAATGTAATTTGTGTGCTGAGTTCTAGGGCTCTAATCCAAAACTCATTGATGTCTGTGGAAAGACTTCCATTGATTTGAATTAGGCCTTGGCTTTTGTCCTGAATGAACACAATACCAGTGGAGCTATTCATGAAAGAAATGTTTGGAAATAAATCACAGGAACTTGCTGTGTCGGAACCCATTTCACTTGCTAGTTCAGGCAGTCATGTTTTACAATGCTTGTTGTGTCGATACTTTGTCATAGTTTCTCGCGTGAGCTAACCAAATTCAATCTTAAAAAAAATCATTTGCCACTGCTGCTGTAATTGGAAGGTTGTTTCTGGATCATTACTCTGATGTCTGAAGTCTTCTTTAACTTCTAGCCTAAACCTATTTATGCCAATTGTTTCCACTTGTTTTATGTCAACATAATCTTCTGCTGTCACTCTATACAGTATACTTTGTCTTTATACAGTTCTGGTAAATACTGACGGTTGTCCCATCTCCTCTCAGGCTTTGCTTTGTTTTGCTAAATAAGCCCAGGATTTTAATTTTTTATTCAGTAAATTGTTCATTCCCTATAGTCTTTATCTGAATCTATTCCCATTTGGTTTAATCTATCTGGGATACAGGCAACAAATCCTGCCTTTTTAATGAGGTGTAATAGTGCTCTATATAATGTTAATACTTCCCTTGCTTTACTGGAAATACTTTTCCAGATACATCCAGTATTTTGTTTGCCTCCTTATGGCTGTATTTCACTGATCACTTTTATTGAGTGACTTACAGGATCTTGGTTCCCAGGTGAGCTCCTATTTAATAGTAAAAATAGTTTTTATTGCAGGAGTGCATAGCTTTGTCCTTGTGCTCTGAGGCTTTTAGCTTGCATCTGTTACTCCAGTGCTTATTTCTTCCTTGGATGGTGCTCTGCTTGTGCTCTGCTTTGGCTGTCATAAATGATAACAATCAAGCTTGAGTAATCAGCAGCCTTAATTAGTACGTTCCTTGTACTAATTTTGTTAATTAAAAAAAAATAAAATTCTAGAAACTGCTAGAGGTGGCGAATGGGAGCTGAGGGAAGGTGACAAGAAAGAACTGGGGAAAGGTGCCCAGTGCTGGGAGAAAGAATAGCAAAATGAAGAGAGGGCATGGACCCCACAAGGGACAAGTGAGAACTCCTGCGTTATCGGTCGAATAAAGGCTACTTGCATTTGCCAGAGCATTAATTTGGTCTCACAGAACCATACTGGGGATGGATGAAGATATGCCGAAATTCCAGAAATAAATGGGTAACTCATGACTTTCTCCATTTTGACTTTGTAAAAGTAGCAACACTGCTGCTTAACTTCAGATGTTCCTTTTCCTTTTTTTTCAGGAGTTTTCAAAGTATTCTGAAAGTTTCAAGACTTATTTTCTGAAAGCATTTTAAAAATAATGAATCCTAAAAGCACTTTTAAAGTCCTCAGTTAAGAAGATTATGAGTTGAATAATTTATCCACAAAACTTGAAAGGGAAAGAATTTGCCTAGGTCTTTAAAATGTATATGATACATTTTCTTACAGATTGGAATGACTCTGAAAGACTTTTATCCAGATAAGTACATTCAGCAGATATTAGAAGTCACAGGCAATAGCAATTAAGGCATAAGGCATTTCCTAGGAATTAATATCAAGCTGGGAGGAGTTGGGATGGCTCAAGATGCAGCTGAGGGCCATTAACTGCAGTTGATGATTAACGACCTCTGCTGAGGTCATTATTATTATCAGCTGAAAATATAGAAAATTTCAGATGTATGAATCTCTTTAATGGGAGATGCAGTTTCAGTTGGTGTAGTAGACGTGTTCTCACTGTGGACAGACTGCCCTGTATTAATATCAAATAGAGGGCTTGATTTCCCTCCTCCCCTGGAGTTTTTAGGAGTGTTAATCAAAGCTGGATCTCTAAAGCTGCACCAGTATCAAATTGAAAAGTAAGCAGAATAAAGTCCATAGTGCTTTAATGTTCTCCCAGTATTACATTTGGCATCCAGTACTTAATCAGCTTTATTTAGAGCTACTCTCATCTGTCCCTGCCTAATGAGAGTGTCTCAGTATTGTCCTGAAATGTACCCAGAACATTCCTTGTGCTCACTGTTCTTGGACCCACGTTTGAAATCATGTCCTCCCTCCTCCCCTAACCAAGATCTAGAGTCTGGGTTGTCCTATCTGCTGTGTGCAAGGAGGGCAGGCACGCAGGACTGACTTGATGCAAGAAAATACTGCTGGGTTGATACAGGGAGAATCTGTTTCCTAATAAATAGTTGTAATAAATACCTACTTCCCAGTGTCCAGACAAGTCCATGCATGGATTCTTCCACAGTTGGTGGAATGTATTTTTAATATGATGATTTCTTTGTTGACTTATAGGGAAACTGAGAGCTACTAAGAGGACTAAGAAAAGAGGACTAAGAAATGTTCATTTTGCTGCTTATTTTTAGTTTGTGACTTCTGTTACAATACCTTGATTATCTCATATATATATATGTGTGTGTGTGTGTGTCTAAGTTTGTTTACTTCAAGGTGCTTTAAAAGTCTGAAATAGGTAATATAGGTAACAAAGACATAAGCTTTAATTGGTTAGTCGCTGTTATCTTTTATTTAAACTATACACAGCACTGCATGCTTCTGAACACTGTGTTAAGTCCTACTTTAGACATAGCTGGTCCCCTGCCCCTTTCTTTCCCTTCTCCCAGCCCTCTTCCCCTGGTCATTGTGAAGGTTGTAGCATCAAAATGCCAAGCAGGACAGGACTGAGATGACTGCTGCTTTTGGCTGCCCTTTATACGAATGTCACTGGATGTAGACTTCAGCTCACTAAAATGAAATTTTGCAAAATTGTAAGCAAAGCAGTTAAAAAATACAACTCAGGTGTGAAATGTTGACAATTTGAACATTAGGTGGTATGACTAGACCCGCTTGTACAAACCTATTAACTTCATGCTGTTTGTGGGATTGCTGGGTGTCTTTATTCACCCTCAACCAAACCACTGAGCACTCTCCTTTTTTTTTTTTTTTTTTTTTTTTTTTTTTCTCCTCCTCCAAAGTATCCTGCGGTGAGAGGAAGAGGTGAGTAAGGTCGGGCGAAATGAAAATCATGAAAGCTTAATAGACCACAGGGAGATTGCTTTGAAAGGGTGCCAGAGATGGAATGTCAGTTATGGGGAGGAAGACCACAGTGTTGGCAGTGAATGAAAGGAGATCTGGTACATGCACATTAGTGTTTCGTACTCCTTGATGCAAAACGGGTCTGTTTTCCTAGTTTACTCTTTAACAGATGTACCATGGTGACAGTAGACACTCCCACGGTGCTATTAGTGCTCCCTGATGCAGCTTCACTGTGCTTCTGGTGACGTTTTTCTAGTAAGTTCTAGATGCTTTGTCTTGCTTATAAGACCAACAGATGTGAACTGAAGTATTGATGAGATTACATAAATTGCATTTTCTATTTCACTTTCTGCAGCCTCTATCAGTTATGTACTCTTAAGAGATAAGAAATTGTTTTCCTGGATAAGAAGAAAAGAAGTTATATTTTAAAACATGTAGAAATGTGCAGATATAGCAAAGACAACATCAGGTTATTGCAATTATACAGACACCTGACATAATAGCCCTTGCTGTATGAAATCGTGTGACAGATCAACTCAAACACTGCTTTTTCAGGATAAAAATTTCTTAAAAGAAAGGGCTTTGCCCTGGCTGATTCTCCATCTTCTAAGATTTCAAGTCTTGGTTACAGCAGTTAAAATGCTAGGACTTTGTGAGACTCATGGGGTGGCAGTCTAAAATCTAAGTCAACACAAAGACTAGACTAAATGATAACTGTTCTCTTCCAGTCTTAACATTTTATGAATCTGTGGTGGTGTGAATGAAAAGACCCGTGCAAATGTGTCACAATTGATTTAAGGACTTCGGTTTTATTTGATGATGTGGAACTAGTCTTCTGTGTCCACATAGTTTGCAGGGAAATTGCAGACAGTCTGATCCTTCAAGGCTGTTAACATACCTCGAATTTCTGTTGATCTCTAGGTCCACAGATGTGGTACATCTCAGATCTTTGTCTTACAACATTAAAATATCTGTATTTGTGTCCTGTGCTTTTGAACATGGAGTTCTACAGCTAAACATTTTTAAACATGAAATGTGTTTTTGAGACAAATCACTGTTTCTAGGTTGTTTTTTTTCCTACTGTTACAGGAACTCTTAAGGAATGAGTATGTATCTGTGCTTATTTAAATAGCAAAACATCCAGAAAAAGATAACAGGCGATACAAAATGACACTGCAGTGTTGATGTGAATGTAACCCTCAGTTACAGTGGGCCTGACTTTGTCTGCTGACTCCATTGTAGTTCAGCACAATATTTGCTTTTGTATAGATGAGACCACGGTTGTCTGGTGTTTTCAGTCATATGCCCTTTTCAGCTTCATTTCATGTCACTGTCACAGTTTTGCTCAACTTTTACGAGAAGTTCAATAACTGCTGGGTTCTCAGTTTGAAGACTCCTTCCCACAGATATTTTGCAGAGTTCAGCACTTTCAGACCAGTGCTTTCCTTAGTTTCTTTTCACAGAGCCTTTATTAGTCCATGGACACTCACCCCCAAAGGCCACGGGTTGAAATCTCCTGGTTAAACAGTTGTCAAGTTTCAGATTATGCTTTGACACAGACTGGTGTGACAGCACACAAAGTTAATCTTCAGCATTTCTTTTTCATTTGCAGGAAAAATTTGAAGGCTTGTTCCGTGCTTATGATGACTGCGTGACATTCCAGCTGTTTAAAAGCTTCAGGCGTGTGCGGATAAATTTTAGTAGTCCCAAATCAGCTGCTCGTGCCAGAATAGAGCTGCATGAAACACAGTTCAGAGGGAAGAAGTTAAAGTTGTATTTTGCACAGGTAATGAAATGTGGTATCTACTTCTATGTTAGAGTTGAGCTTTTATAGAAGTATTGCGCAGTAACACTGAGTAAAAATAATAAAGTTTTCTCCCAAGCCCAATCTCTCTGCTAAAAGATTGCTCAAACATCCTTACGTTGCCTGAGCTGCACCTACCCAGTGGGTCTGCAGTAAATTTAAAGAACCACTTAGGATCCAAGTTGCTTGTTCAACATACAGAAGTTACATAGCTTAGAACTGATTTACAACATTGGGTATTTTCTGTGGGTAACTCTCTAACCATAAAAAGTGGTAATGTGAAATATCATAAGTTCATTAAAGAAGTACGGCTGTATTACTTACTTGACCGCAACCCTGAGCCACAGCCAGGTTTCCTCCTGCCATTTTTTTTTTTTCTTACTGAGTAGATGTGTGAATTTTCTAAAAGGAATTCAGTAAGTTAAAGGCAGAAGTTAGGGGGAGAAGAATACCCTCAGCCTGGGGTCATAGGGGATTATATCCATCTGCTGGAAGTGTCAGATGAGGGTTTCAATTCTTCTTGGCCAAGGATGAGGGGACACAGATGTCCCACAGCCTGGGTGAGTACTAGGAACCAACCAGGATGTAGAAAGGTGGAGGAGGTTGAGAACACAACCACCACCTCTTCTGAATGTATTTAATAAGTTGCTGTGGCCACTGTGGCTTATGGGATACTCACTAGTGCTTATAAACAATGTAAGTGTGCTTTGAGCTGCCACATTGGTCCTTCAGAGGCCTTAGGTTAAGGGCAGGCTCATTTGAAAATATCAGTTAAATTTAAGAGGCAGTTAAATTTTGAGCCTCTCCAGCCTGGTCAGAATAGGAGCTGTTTTGAGCCTAGGCAGAAGCAGAATTTCAGGAAGATGAGAAAAAACTACAGTTGTAAAAAAAACAGTATGCTTGGTGGGTTAGATGAGTTCAGAAGATCTTACACTTGGATTTAGGTATGGACAATGTACCTCAATCCTATTTTATATGCCTTAATCTCCTAGATTTGACTCAATTTCTTTTTGAAGGTTTCAAAACCTGCTGTTAAGCAGATCTGAGAATCATTTCACTCTTAACTGTACGATATCAAGAGGTTAATAGGAAAGTTGGGATAGCACAAGAAAAAGAAAAATATGCATAATAGTGATGAGTCTCCATATCTAATCTGATTTCCTGCAAAGCCATTTAGGTATTGGCACTATGCTCTCCTGTATATGCAGTCTAAAAAAGGCTTATTAGTTGTGCCCAGGGAATGAATATGTGGAAGCAGCACAGCATCCAGAGCAGTGTGTATTAGACAGGCCAGCACTTCCAGAACTAGAAGTTCTGGGGAACATGGAGTTGAGAGACTCAAACTGGCTCTTTGCAGAACCCATTGGGGTAGAGCGCAGTGCTTGTTGTCATGCAAATGAAGTTTATTGCTTCTGGGCCCGAGCTGGTTTTAAACTTGCTCACGTATGGCTGTAGTATAATTCATTTATGTTGAAACTTCTTTAATATACCAGGAAAAAGCAAGAATTAAACTAGATAATTTAAGATGGAAACAAATAAGAACAAATAGTTGCTAATGACTAGGGAACGTGATAGGTTCTTTTATCACTTTGGTTAAAGAATTAAAATCTTAAGAAACCTTTCGGAAGTTACTAATAGGGCCTTGATGCAGGCGTTACTTGTTTCTTATCTTGTCTGTTTTTGTTTAGGAGTTTATACCAGTAGATCACAAAAATATCTTTTCAGCCTCAAAATCTCTGAACTAGCAGCTGTGGAAACCAAAGCTTTGCATTTATCCTCAGAGAACATAGAAAATAGGCACAAACTTTGTAGCTTTGCTCATATAACAGCACCCCATGGTGTATTTACTGTAGAGGAACCATCTGTAAGGTTGAGATGAAATTCGTCTCCAGGCCTTCTCTGCTGAGACTGACGCTGAAACCCTGACTGGGTGGCATTTGGTATTAGAAGTGTATGATTTGAGTACTCATTCCATTTACCCATCCTATACTAAATAATGTATTTGTTATGCTTTAAAGATTCAGACCTCTGAGACAGATGGAGACAAGCTTCATTTGGCACCACCACAGCCTGCAAAACAGTTTCTCATCTCGCCTCCAGCTTCCCCACCTGTAGGGTGGCAACCAATAGATGATGCAACACCTGTCATCAACTATGACCTCCTTTATGCAGTTTCTAAACTAGGACCAGGTAAGCTTGTGATCCTTGGGTGAAAATGTGTCAGAAAAAGCAGATGAGAAATAGCAGGGTAGAGAATAACTGTAGAGGAAGTTGGGGTAAAGCCTGTAAATTGCATTAAAGCTGTGGATTTAAGTCATTGCACGTCAGCTCCTTCTTTGCTTAAGAATGAGTTTTACCGTATGTACATAGAGAAATCTATCTTATCTGCAGCCCGTGAGTGCTGTTTGATTGAATAGCAGATCAAAGCTTGTTTACACAATTTATTGTGCTTGAGTTGGTGCTTGGATGAGACAACTGATGGCTTTTGTGGGGACTGGACAAATGCTTGTTTATGAACTTGAAAAGTTTTTGCTTTCAATCATATCTGCTCACTACTGCTTTCCAGGATGCAGAATACCCTGTCAAGTGTTTAGGCATTACTGTGTCTCCACCAGAGTGAAGAATCTCTCACATTAACAAGTTTGTCGAGAGGGAATTACCATTCCCCAATCCTGGCAGGATTGCTCTGTTAGGACCACCCATTTTTTGTTGACAACTGTATGCAGAAGGAATGGGATAAGTTGTAACCTCTATCGAAATAGGATGGATGTCATGGATAATGCAGATAGACTTCCTTCTTCTGTCTTCCCATATTCAGCTAATGCCAGGAATCGAAGCTAGCTGGGATTTGCAAAACAATGCTTTTGCTTTGAAAATGCTCATCTGATGAAACCAAAACTTTTTATAGGAAAGGATTACTTTTGGTTTAATTAAGTCATCTTTAGAAATAGTTTTCTTTCAAGGCTGTTAAAGCATCCCCTTTTAAAATTTTCAAAACGGAAAAGGTTCCAGTTTCAGGTCTAAGCAGTATCATTTAATAATTAATTTACATTTGTAAACTGTAAGAAAAAAATAGCTTGTTAAATTATTTTCCTATTGAAATAAAACACTTCAGATGCAATCTAATAACAATTTAGGGGGTGAGCTCATGAAAATTTATGAGAGTATTTTCAAAATTCTTGTGGGATGAGATTTTTTTTTTTTTTCTCCCCAGCTCTACTGGGGTTTTCTTGTTCTGAGACTAGCTTCCACTTGCAGACATCTTATCACTGGGGCTTTTGTGTAACTGCACCAGAGTAACCCAGAGCTGAAGTGCATGGGGTGCAGAAAGAGATGTTTTGTGATTCACAAGGTTTGCAGGATCATCTCATATCTCTTTCACATGGGATCTCTCACAGGGGGAAAATATCTATCAGGAGAACATCAGACATTCCTGTGGTTTATTCCCCTTCAGCAGGAAAGCCCATAGTAATAGGCTGTCAGGTGTAACAGTGCTCTATTGCATGTTATTATTTCCAGAATTAATACTTTTGTTTCTAAACTGCTGAATAAAAGAAAACCAAAAAACTCCCTTTTTTCCCTTTGATGCAGCAGTGTTATAAATAGAAACGTGTAAACGAATTCCCTAGCTAGCTGGGTAATAAATCAATTCCTGTTCTAGAGCAGTGGAATGTGAAATATCACTCATTGTCCCACACTCTGGGACAGCTTTGCGTGAAGGTCATATTCACCCGTATTTAAGGAGCCTGCAGGGAGCAATATGAAAAGTCATTGTGTGCTCCCTTCTTTCTATTTTTAGCACTTGTTAGAGAGATCAATTTTAGTTAACTGCAGTGGCAGTTCTAAAATAGCGTTGCGGTTCTCAGTTGTGCATTTACTATGTTTAGGATTTCATTGAGAAACAAATCCCACCAAAACTAATTTCTCAGTATCACATCAATAAAACATACTGCCGTACATCAGATAACACTGTTAGCCTCGGCTAAGTTAGATTTGTCTTCGTTCAAAAAACACAATTAAAAAATGTAACTCTGACCTACTAGCTATCAAAAAATACTCCCTGGAACAGTTGTTTACAGAACTCTGCATGTTAGAGCAGACTTCTCTGTCTTTAACTTGTGAGGAAACTGCTATATGAAATACACTGACTTGGTAAGATTAATATCTGAGGACGAGGAAAACTCATTTGAGCATGTAAATAGTGAACAGTTTCTTTGTATGTCCTCAATACAAGATGAGTTTTACTGACCTACTTCACTGGGAATGTAAGATACACCACTTGGACACAGACCCACGCTACTTACTTTCCCATTCCATGAATATAGGTCATCTCCTTTCACAGTATGTTGCCATAATCATCATAGCCACAAAATTAGACACTAAAACTGTCCCTAGGCACAAAGCCTGGGAGATTTGCTCCAGAGTAAAATGAACAGGCCAGAAGGTAGTTAACAGATTTGCTGTGTGTTGTCTTTTTCCAAGCTCACTTTTGGGATAGGTTTTTCTTTTTCAGCCTTGTGGCTGCAGCAATGACTGTCTGGCATCTCAGAGTCTAATGGAAAAGTTTTCTTTTTGCTGTGCACAAAAGGAAGCTGGCTTTTGGTCCTTTGACATTAAATTGTGATCAGTAAGGGTGCATTTGCTTCTTAAGGAAGACTATGGCACATTTAGGTAAGTTTCTGGTTGATTGATGCATATTCTTACTTGCTGCAGACGCAGAAATGGAGCTTTAAATGAGGCATGAACAGAATGCTGTAGACCAATCAGAACCAGCACCTGTGACTATGACTGATTCTGACCACCAGCCAACATTTTTTTCAATATATTGCAAATAAAGAAATATTATCATTAATCTCTGGACCTAACTCTTTTCCTACAGAAACGCAACATACCAAGCTGTTGTCTAGTCTAGGCCCTCAAGTCTTTTCTGTAACATTTTATAAGGTCTTAATTTCATCTCACTGAGGAATACAGGAAATAATTTTATATGAGAAATGTTTGTGAGGAGGAGGAGGAGGCATCTCCAGGTCTAGGTTATGTATATACAGGAGAGCTGCTCCTCTCAAAGAAAAGGCAGCGATGTTTGCTCTGCCGTTTATTAGTGCAGCAGTTTACAAACCATCACCATCTTCCTGGCACTAGAGTAAGTCTTTATTTACTGGAAAGCAGTTATACCCCCTCCCTATCTCTACCCCTTCAACCTTCATATTTCTTCCCTCCTTCCTCCATTGCCTTCAAACCTGTTACCCCAATTTCTTCACAGACTGCCCTGTGCTCCCTTATTTTCTAAGTCTGTACTCTTCAGGGTGTCTCTCCCCAGAATCCCAGGTGCCTCCCAGGCCTCCCCTTGCCAATCTCAGCCCCTACCTGCTGCCCACACAGCAGTTTCCGGACAAATTGCCTATCTCCTGTGGCTTTGACTCACGGATCATGGCTCAACTGGTGAGATCTGCACTATACACACACAACAAAGGTCAGGGTCCTGAGTGCTTAACCGCTCCGTGTGCTCCCCAGTGAGATTTTGCCCTCTATCATTTAGCACTCACCTCCACAATTTCAGGCACTATTTGAAAACCAGTGCAGTCTTGGCACCATTTCCAGTAGCCCATATAGACAAATCTGTACCAGTTTCAGTTCTCTCCATGTTTCCCAGTCCTTCATCTGCATTCCAGCAGGCTTTGTGTCTCCTCCTAAATGCCCTCAAGCTACACTCCAGGTCATGTAAAATACATTTTTCATATTATGGAGGCACCATTCTGCAGGGTTACACATGATGGCTCTTGGCTCCACAGTGGTGGATGGGGCACAGAGGAGATCCTGCAACAGTCTGTGCCACTTGGTTCTGGGTCTGTGAAAGATTAGTGGTTGGAGGAGAGGGGCTGGGTCAGGGTTCTGTTTCTGTCTCTGAGCCATTAAGCTGTAGCTGCTGCTGGGCTTCTGGAGGAAGATGCATAGCTCTTGCCCCTGCTCCACCCTGGGTTTGGCCCACCTATGCACAGGGAAGGGGAGAATGGGGAAGAGCAGGACCCTGCCCAGTAAATGCTGCACACAGGGATTTCAAACCATGTCTCACGCAGCAACTTTTCTATCCCCAGGTGTTTTCAAACTCCTGTTTGTTCTTGCTGATTCAAAGGAAATACTGAATACTTCATATGACTTCCAGAGAGGATCAAAAGAGGGGGGGAGAAGGGCAGGCAGATGGGTGATAGATCAAATATTCCATCTGTATCCTTCCTTTCCCCTCTGTTCTGTGGCTGCTTCTGCCCTTGCCTCCCCTTTCCCCAGGGCAGGGTACAGGAGAGGAGGGTGCCCTTCTCCCACAGCAGCAGTGACAGGCTTCCAGAGAGCAACTCCTCCATTTTGCGTATGGCGGATCCACGCAGCTGAGGCATTCTGTGGGATGGGGTGTATCTCTTCTGGCGCAAACGTGCACCCATACAAAGCACCACCCATTATTTGCACCATATTATTTGTAAAGGATTCGGGTGATGCTAATGACATGTTTAACATGGAATGGACAGCTCTGAACCCATTAACCTTCGATCATGAGTCAGAATCAGGGATGTGGTAGCTGCATACTATTATTATCATTTCTTCATTATTAATTTAGTATATGAACATATTATTTGCTGGACAAAAGTGCCTTACGAGACAAGAGATGCACCATCAATGAAAGGTCATAGTACCGATTCACAAAGGGATAGAAAACCACATGCCGTTACTTTTAATTCTGAAATATCCTAAGTTGCTTTTGTGCTGTTCTTGCAGTCATCTTTCTTGCATCACCTGAGACTGTGGGTTTGCTTGTGGTTAATGTGGTGACAAAAGGTAGTGCCAAGTGACATAAAAGCAGCTAGGCCCCATTGCTGGAATGGTGAAACTTCAAATTCCTATTTTTTTTCTTATGCGACGCAAATGAATAGAGGAACATAGCTGCTATTTTCAGGGGGTTATTAGGAACATTTTCTGACAAATGTATATGGTGGAGGTGCCATTCTTCCCTGCATTATATCCTGAAGGCAGAGTTTAGATGTTTGAGCACATTTAATACATTTTGTGATATTTCTATGAGTAAATTTATGTGCATTTCCATTTTTATCTTGGCTTACATTAATATTTAAACAATTTATTGTTAAGGGGTATCGATAGCCCAAAGGCTGCTGGAGGAGAAAGACACCTCTCCCCAAGAACCCTTTGGCTTAACCTGTCGGGGGTCTCCAGGCAAGTGGGAGAAGCAGGAGCAGTGGGGCAATGTAGGGCCTGAGAACTCCAAGGAGGCAGCATCAGAGACAGCTGAGTGACATAACTGGACAAATGCGGGAGTGGTGTTAACTGTGGGAGTTGGTGACTCTTAACTACGCTAACTTGACTTGCTACTCTTATCCAGGGACAACCTGTGCCTTGCAAACATAACCCAATTGCAGTGATTCAGCCTATGCTCCACTAGTTTAACTGCTGTTTTTTTTTTTTTTTTTTTTTGTTCTTTTTTTTTTTAATATGCTGGACGTGTTGTTTAAGAGGAAATTAAAAAAAAAAACAAAAAAAACCAAACCCAGAAAAAAGCATAAGGGAAGGGGTAATCTGGCTGTACCAACTGTTTTGTTTTTTTTTTTATTTTGTACTTACTACCTTAGTATTCTCCTGCAAACAACGGTTACATTTAGGAAAAAGATACAGCTGTACAAAGTCCTGTAGTTGCTGTTGCCTGTTCCTAGCTCAGCCATGAAAAGGTTTTCTGCAGTTTAAGCTACAGTTGTGCTGGCATGAATAATCGTGACTACAGAACTGAGTCTGCAGCTCATTTATGCTCAGAAATAACTGTACGCCTTAAAAACCTAATTTATGAGTGCATCACATTTTGATTTGCAAAGTGACATTAATTGCTTTTGCAGTTACTTGTGCCAGAGGCATCTGAATATTCCCTGTGTCTCTACTTATTTCCACTGTTCTTTTTCAGCAGAAAGAGTCCTTCTGGGAAGGATTCGAACAGTAGAAGAATGTGGCATTTGAACTGGGATTATTACCTTTTAAGAGGGCAGTGAATCTGATTTACTTCATGGTGCTGGTGTAGGAGGAGAGGGCCCAGCGTTGTGCGTGTGCAGCACTGCAGAGCTAGCTGCTCGTAGCTGACAGTGACCAATGTAGCCTTCAGTGCTGGCTGGCAGCATTGACGTCAGCCCATAGCTGAGAAATTAGCTGAAGCCCACAGGGAAAATAGGCAAAGAAAAACCATATAATTTCTCAATGCAGCACAACCAAGCTATTTCTCTTTTTATATTTTAGCCTATCAGCAAGACCTGTAATGCTTTGCTCAATTTGGATTCAGAGGAAAGCTTGCCAAAAATAGAGCAGTTAAATGTCAACATTAATGGTATCACAGCAGTAAAATATTTCTCACAGCAAGATGCCTGACTTACAGCCATTATTCACTAGTTGCCTCCTATTTTTTAGGCAAAAATGCTGCATGTCCTCTAGTTGCAAGTCACCCAGTCTTATTTGGACCAAGAATTTGTCAGCACAAATAGTGTGTGAGCTGAGTTCCAGAACTGCGTGTGCTAATGCAGGGCCAAACCTGCAACCCCTTCTTCACGTGAATTACTCTGCCACAAAGTTGCTAATAAATAAAAATTCAAATTAGTAACACTTTGAGGTAGGAACTGCCATTTCATTTTCATCATACAACACGTAGCGCTACCAGGTTCTGCCTGTGTTGCAGGAATTTAGGAGCTGCTGCACCACAAATACAGGACAGCTAGGTATACTGGGACCTCGTCTCCCTCATCTTAGAATGCTTTGCAGGCAATAGGCAGTGGTTCTGAAGAAGTCTTACAAAAAAAAAATCCAAGCTATCAGGTGTGCGTGTGGTCACTGTAAGCCTATTTTAATTGAACTGTAGCCTGTGGGTCTTGGAGATGAGAGTGATGACAAATAGTCCAAAGGGGGACAACACATTATGGCTTTCGGTTTTTAGTGCTGCAGGTAAGCATTTGTCACTTCTGAAAGACCAAGTCATCCTGTCAGAAATGTCACCAATGAGACTTTTTCTTCTCTACAAATTAATTCCTTGCAATTTAACAGCCAATACAATTTACATCCTGTATATAATCCAAAACACATGAAGTGCCAGCAGACTGCATGCAGGACTAAAAGTCCGATGTCTGATCCTGATTTTCCTTTGTTTGCTTGTGAACTCTTGCAGGTAACCACCTCAGCCATATTAATTTTCCTTGCAGGAGCACTGGTGGAGACTTAAATAAGGAATGTACATAGTTAGAAAATCCAATGTACTGTTTAAGCATTTAGCCTTCTAGTGAGCATTTATAGACTGTACTCTGTAATCTCATTTGTAGAGACTGAATTTGTTACAGCCACAGCTAAAGAGCTTTGAATCTTAAAATCCATCTGGAGCAGATAAATGTATTTTTTTATTTCTGGAGCAATTGGACCAAGTGTTGATGTCTGTCTGGAGGCAACAAGTTGCAGAGCCTAGTGGACTTTAAACGGACTGGAGCCATACTAGACTGAAAGCAATCACCACCACCAAAAAAGAATAAACCAACAGGGTGACATGACCAGACCAAGCTTGTGAGAGGTTGGATTCCAGTCCCTCTGCTTAACCATGAGCTTCTGTGTTCTGTCTCCTCTTTGTACTTTGGGTTTTTTTCAGTGCTGTTGGCCACTAATATTGGTGCAAAACACCATTATAAGCACCAGGGTATTTTATTATGCCTGACCAATGATCATTGCCCTCCAGGGCCAGGATCCCCAAAACAGCTGATATAGTCAAGCTATTCTTGTCCTCACCGATATTTAGGAGCAGCACATGTCTACCCTATCCAGATGCAGGAATATTCTGCAGTCCAAAAGTGCCGTTGTCTGCGCTGCTACTCAGACAGTCGGTTTTTAATCTAATAATTTTCCTCTGCTTCCAGGAGAAAAATATGAGCTGCACGCAGGAACAGAGTCCACTCCCAGTGTGGTAGTGCATGTCTGTGACAGCGACATGGAAGAAGATGAGGACTCAAAGAATTCTCCAAAGCCAAAAATCATTCAAACTCGACGCCCTGGTCTGCCACCTCCTGTATCTAACTGAGCCTCTCCGGCACAAGCAGCACTTCTCTCCTCCAGCACAGCTCTTGGGTTTTGTTTGCTTTGTTTTGTTGAAAGGCAGCCATTGCCTTTTGAGTACCAGAACATTAAACTCATTGAAATCCCTCACAGTAATCAAGCCTATGTAATAAAAGGGCTAGGAAAAAGATCTTTGTATACGTAACCATATCACACACCAACTAATAGATTTTTCTGGAAAGGACAAAACAAGGCTGAAGAAACAAGGGAGGGTTTCAGTCTGAGGATGTTTTCATAGCTATAATTTGCATGCTGAAACACCATTGCCAGAGAGATTGTTCAGGATGGGCAATTAGGCTGATATCAGGCTTTTGATATTCAGACTCCCAGAATTCTTTCTGCCTCCCTCCATCAAGCAGCCTGCGCCTCTGACCTCCTCAGTTCCCCAGCAGACCTTAGTCATTTCCCACTTTTTTTTTTTTTTTTAAGGATGGTATGTGTGTTATTTTTTTTTAAATCTACTAGCAGCTTGGTGGCTTTTTCATCCATCCCCTTGGAATTTTCTGTAAGGAATACTATCTTTGCGACGTTTTTAAAAACATTCTCTTCCACCAACAGCTATAGACTACAGTGGCCCTTCATGGTGGCAGGGATGTGTGACAGAGCTCCCTGGGCTGAGGGGAGAGGCAGCAGCTTTCTGGAGGGTCTGGTGTCAGAATATCAATAGGATTGTCATTTTATCTTCCATAAAGATATGAGTGGTACTTCTCTGTGAGTTGGAGAAAGAAAGAGAAGCTAACTGCTTATTTAAAATGGAATTCGTTGCTCTCTGTCATAGCTGTTAAGTTATAGTAATGATACAGGCTGAACGCTTTCCTAGTGGTGTGTTGAATAGCCCTGAAACTGTTAGTAATTACTCGTACACCTCTACTATTCAGACCTTTTCCCTCCCCACTTCCTGTGCTTTAAAGCCTTTTTTGAGCTGTATGCAGTTTGGGTTTGTGGAGGTGAGGAGAGGTTATTTGGGGTTCTTTTGTTGTTTTCTTTTTTTTTTCTCTTTTTTTTAGGCCAAAGAAAACAGGACCATAATTACACACTTGAAATTAGACTGCATGCAACTGAATCCCCTTTTTTCACCCCGTCCTGCATGTTTCTTTCACTTGCAATGTATAATGGGTTACAAAAATTGTTCTGTGTTTTCATCATGGCTGACAGCAGACAGATACTGGATTCCCTGTCTGGCAGAGCTTCCATGATGATTTTTTTTTATGAGTACTTGTCATTTTGAGAACATATTTTCTAGACATTTGAGCTCAGATTTTGCATATATTTAAGCATGCGCTTAATTTATGCACATGAGTAGTTCCACTGAAATTCATACTGCAGAAAACCGAGCATATGTGTAAGATACGGTGGGATTTTTGAGCTAATTAGCTGCAGCTGTACTCCCAAAAATGACTATAAAGTGTCACAGTGAGATTCCACGGTTTAAAATCCTTTGCAAGTTAAAATAAGTAAATACATCTTGGAAGCTCATTCTGGGATCTGAAAAGTCAGCTTAGGTTCTGTAATCAAGATTTTTTGTCATAAAACCTAATGATCTGGTTTCTGAGGGAGGGTTCCATTGTTAAAGAAGTGCAGCTCGGACCGGGCGTCCGGTGTTAGTCACTCCGCAGTTTGAACTCCGGGTTGCCCGAAGCAGAGTCTCAGGCATGAAATCAAAATAAATCAGCAGGGGAGGGACTCGAACCCACACTACTATTGAGAGGGACTTAAACCCACTGAAAACCTTCTCTAATACTGAGAGAATCACAGAATCATAGAACAGCACGTTGGAAGGGACCTCAAGGATCATCTGCTCCAACCTTTCTTAGCAAAAGCTTGAGAGGGACTCAAACACTGCAGTATCTTCACCAAATCTGCTCAGGGAATTTTAACACTCACCCTTCGATGCCTCCCACTCCAAAGATCCCTGGTGAACTCACCAATGCTGGCAGTTGGATGTTTGGAGGTGAGAGGTTCCAAAGGCGGCGGCCTCAGGTCCCATCAGGGTCGCCAAACTGTTAAAGAAGTGCAGTTCGGTCCGGGCATCCCATAGTAGCTGCTCGGTAGTTTGAACCCTGGGTTTTCCAAAGCAGAATTTCCAGCATCGAATCTCATCAAAATAGGTAATTTAACTTAGCGGCACAGCAGCAGGATCAGCTTGAGCTGGGTGCCTCCGGAGAGGGACTGAACACAGAAATCCCTGGGCAGTTATACCCCGACAAACCTCGCGCCCACCCTCCACGTGCCCTTTGGTCCAACAGCGACTCTGGCCTGAGACCTTCCAACTCCCTCCGGGAGTCCTTCGCTGTCTCCAGGCAGGCTGCCACCTTGTCTGGCTGCAGCTGCTGCTGATGGTTGCACCCTCCTTATCTTCTAGTTTGCGTGGGCCCTGGAGGCCTTGTCTTGCTTGTGTAGGCCCGAGTTCGGTACAAGTTCAGCAAATCTAGGTGAAAGTTTACAGCTTGCAGCCTAAGGCTTCAGCAAATCTAGCTACTCATGCTAAGTAAGTGAACAGCATACTAAATCACACAACATCACAAGTCTAAGCGAGTCATCCTATTTAAAACCTACTTATTTAAGCTAAACAACTAGTATTTCTTAACACCTTTCCACCCTAATTAGCAGTGAGGCTACACGCTTCAGGTGCCCCTTGCTGGGGTATTGGCTCTGCCATACTTTGGGAAGAAAAGCATGTTGCTTTGTCGGTGAAGATGGGAGATGCCCCTCTCAGCATGCACAGTGAGGATGTTCTGAAAATGAGAACTTGCCATTCTCATTTAGTTCATTCTCTGACCACCACAGCCCCCTAACATTCCTGTTGAGATGTAGTGCTTAGCATATATCTATAATGTGATACTTGTTACTGCATTATGGACATCGCCGTGCATGTGTTACACTAATAGAAATAACACATTAAATACAGCAAAGGCTGAACAAAAAATGAGGCTTTAGCATCCTCATGATATCTGTGTAAAGTTGTCTTGAAGTAACTCTTTACAGGCTTCACTTCAGTTATTTTTCAGTGGTGCATTTAGAATTGGTTTAAATAAGTAAATTGTCACTCACTGCCCTAGGACTATAACCTGATGTTCCTGTTGAAAACACCGTCATAGGTCACCTACAATATTTCAGGAGTAACACCACTGTCTTTTTTGAGAACATACAGAACGCTAAGGTCCATGGATTTTAGACCAGTATAAACAGGAAGAGTAAGACTTAAATGCATAAGATTTTTTGTTGATATATGCTGTACAGAAGAAATTACTGGCCACATCCTCAGCTGATGTAAGCGATCAGAGATCATCTGCAGTCAAAGCTGATACTCTGGATTTTTTTACATGCAAAATTGTTGGAGGCCAAATCTAGTCCTTGTATCCATGTACTCAATCTTAGGGGAGACTTGGTTTTGAACTGTGGACTTTGGCCTCAAATGATCTAAAACTAGACTACAGATTAAAGCATTGGATCTTAAATGTTCTTTCCTCAAAATGCATTTTCAGACAGATTTAAAAACAGGCCCCATTCAAATACTACTCTTTGTCTTTATAAAACTATATAGTACTACATGGGACACAACTTGTTGGTTAAAGCACAGAAATAGAAACACAACTGCAAACCTGAAAACTCAAATTAGCCCTCTGTAACTGTGGTCAAAGTTTATATACCACCTTTATATGATAAAATAACGGTCATCTAGAAAAATGTTTCCGGTATTATGGAATAATGTCCCAATCATAAAAGTAACAGCATTTGTGAGCCTAAAGAGAACCTGTATTTTGCTAAAGGCTGGTTCTTGGCAGGGAAGAAAGGCTTCTTTCAAAAACTGCTTACCATCTGGAAGAGTAACTCCTATTTAATTCGGTAATTCACAGGCAGAGCCCCTACTTACTTCAGTGGGAATTTTCTTTTGTGTAGCATATATGAGCTCAGTCCCTCTGACTTGCTCTTTTCACAGGGTGACTGCAGTGCTGAAGTAGATTCTCTCGTGTCGTAATACGATAAATAAGAATGAAATCTGTGTTACACTACTGTAACAGTGTACATAGACAAAACCCTTTTAATTTCCTTTCCAAAGCAGGAGCCTGTGCGAGCAGCCGGCAGCGATGCCCTGGGCTCCTCTGTTGGGTGGACGTTGCTCTTGCTGCTGCTTGGAAATTCAAGAAGGAAATCAGGGGAGTACAGTTGCTCTTTCTGTTGCCTGCTGCCTGCTTGTCCTTTCTGACCTCTTCAGATATGAAATAAAAATTTTAATGACTTCCTAAATACAGTTAAAAGCATGAAAACATTTACAATGCACAGAGAAAGGGTATTTTGGAATCTGCTCTTTTGGAACAAAAGAATAAAGAGTTTCTGTGGCCTTGATTTCTGTAGTTAAGACAAGGTAGTACAACCTCCCTCTCCCTAACATACATACACACTCAAGTACACTTTTGTTTTCGGCAAGAAAACATGGTGAGAGCTTCCCTTCCTCAGCCATAACAAGACTTACCGACATAGTTATTGTAAAGTACTTTATATTATAAAAATGTGCCCCGTGGATAAATTGTTTAACATTTATTTGATCCTAAATCGGGTGGGAGAGTTGGGTTGGTTTTATTTTGGTCTTTTTCCCCCCTCCCTCCCATTCAGCAACAGCAAAAAAGCTTTCTGCAAAAAAGAAACTGTTCTTTGTACAGAGTAACAGACTGAACCATCTTGCAAGACTTGATTACAGTGGTATGTCTGAGCACTGTGACAGATTATGTTAGCATTTCCATTATATTGTACATACTTTTGAAATATTCTGTCATATTTTATAGGAGTATTGAAAAGCTATTGGCTAATTAATCACTTTTACACTTGTATAATTCAGAGCTTAGTTTAAAAAATAAATATGGCAAACAGTATTTTTGTGTTCTGCTTGTGTTGGCATTTTGAAAAGCAACATTTAAAGAGTTAAACTGTATTAATAAACTGACTAGTGTGGTATATACCACTGCTCTCTTAACTGGTAGAACTGAAAATGCTTAAATATGTGACAGGCCAAACTCTGTTTCAGTAGAAATTAGGGGAGAAGAACAGCCTTCCTATTGGCAGGGTACCCATGTTCCATTTTAAACTGCTGCAGTTTCACAGTCATGTGAACGTGCACTGGTTTGCTGTGGATTTGGCTCCATGTGTGTGAAAATGAATACAGTGCAATCCCTGGTGAGCAAAAGCACATCCCTGAGAGCCGATGGGGTTCTTACAGTGCTTCTATATTGGGTAAATACAGTGGGCATGAGTGCTGGAATAAGGAACATGGCATCCAGCTGCCATCCAGCCTGGGGAAGAAGTTCTGTTAATGTTAATTATTACAGACACTGAAACTAATTGTTTGTAGTCTCATGCGTCAGTTTGTACTGGATCTTGCAAATTGGAAACCAGGAGGAGTTTGCTGATTAACTGTCTTGTGAAATTCTGATATTTGATCACTCAGCTCTGCATTTGGAAAAATGATATTTTTTTGGTCACTTGCCATAAAAGACTTAGTTTCTCAAAGGATGATTTTTCATGATTCTGAAAATTAGATCCGCTTAAGAGAACTTGTTGGAACCGTAAACTCTGAGCTCACTGATTCCTTCTGAAAAGACAGGCCTTAACAAAAAAAAAAAAAAAAAAAACCCAAAAAAAAACCCCCAAAAAACAATAGTAATAGTCATCTTCTCACGGAGTACTGTAGAAGTAAAATGCACTATAGGAGGCCTGATTTATTCTTCACTGTTGAGCAGCAAATGAGCTTTCCCCAGCTACAGTGAGGTTCTTCACCTGATCTGACTGAAATGCTGCATTACCCCATTACCCATGTGCTGACTGTGGCTCCTCAGCCTTGCTGGGAACCAAACACAGCACCTGGAAATGAGCCTCAAGGCTGCGGTTGCTGGTGGTGGAGAGCTGTGTGGCCCAGAGGATCCCAAACTGGTCCTTGGCTGGGGGCATGACTGCCTGCATGCGTACCACTTCGGTACACACTTCATCTGTACACACAAATAGGCAACATTTATTTATGCTGGGCGTTCATGCATGCAAGAGATAATGTGCACCCTGACCCTGCTCGATGATGAATAATGGGGGTTAAAAGTATTTCTCCCAGCTACAGCAGAGGCCTGGGGCTTCCATGGCTCCTGCCTTGATTACTCACAGCTGAAGCTCCCCTTAATTCATTACTGATAGTCTGGCTCCGGCTGTTCCTTGTGCAGCCTCGGGTTTTTGTCCTAAAGAATTACAATCCAAGCAAGAGAAACGGTGATTTAAGAAGGATGTGTTGGGAAGTGCAGAGCAGATTCCAGCTCTGCAGCTGGCTCTGTACTTACCAATCGTTCCCTGATCATCCCAGCTTCTTAAAATGGGTCCAGCAGTTCACAGGCGTTGGGTCCTTGGGTGTTTTACTACCCAATGATGAAATCTGTGGCCAGTCTGGTGTGGTACAGCCAGACCTACTGGAACAGCTTCCTAGAAGTGAAGGCAGTACCTGTCACAGACCTGGGGAGCTGGAACAAGCTTTCTATGGAAGAGGGGATTTAAGTAGGTTAGTGTGGATATCCTGATTAAAGTTACAGTGCTTTCAGATCTCAGCCTCTAAAGAGCCTTTACTAAATTTATTTTTTCCTTCTTTAGTGGTAAATATTTACTACTAAACATTTAGCCACTTAAGACTTTCACTCACATACTAGTATGAATTTAAGACCTTTGCATTTCCTCGATTCCCCTCTGCCTAAGAAATCGCATGTTGCTCTGTTCTACCAAAAAGCAAAACCAGGTATGGATTAAAATCCCAGGCAGACCCTCATTTATACTCATCCTCATGCAATGCTCTTGAATAACTAGTTATGCTAGCAAAAAAAAAAATAAAAAAATCCCCAAACCCTCCTGTTTTTGCACATCTTTTGGGGGGAGTACAGCAGCTTTCAAATATTCTAGGCTCCTCTTAAAAGGAGATGTTTTTTTCTAATGTGAGCTGTGCTCTTTTTTTAAATACACGTAGACTGCAGCATTCAGGGATAAAATTACAAGGGAGGAAGTACTGAAAAGCTCCTTCCCACATGTCTATTTGAAGTGTTGAGTATATTTGCTTTGGCTCGGAGGGGAGGGAAGCTTGCACTGTTAGAGGTGGAACAGCAGCAGCACTCCTGACGGAAGGGCAGGAACTCCGAATGCCTCCACTGCAGAGATGCTCAGAAAGCATTAAAAATAGCCTTAATTTGTCTCTCCCCTTTTGTCAGTTTGTTCAGTCACTACACAGAGAGTCTGGGGCTGCGGTAGGAGTCATCCGTGGATCCTTTCAATATGGGACTGTGGATTGATGCAGTAGGTACAAAGCCTGGGACTGGGGACATGTTAGCGAGATTCTTGCCGTAGTAAGGCTGGGAAAGCTGTGAAGTGTGAGCAGCCTCAAAGAAAAATGAAGATATTCACAACCTTCAGAGAGACTTGAGGATTTAAATCCATGTAGGTGAGAGCTGCATTAAGAAGGGCCCATTTGCTGTCCCTGAGTCAGAGGCTTCCTCACTCACCTGAGTGTCCAGCAAGAAGGATTAAACTTGTCTATTATTCTACACCTGAAAATCAGTCTTAAGAAATTATTGTAACTGATCATTTATCTAGTAAGAGAAAGTTGTATTTGTGTCACACAGATGTGTTCTCTTCACTGTTCAGTTAATGAAGGTCAGTGTTCCGAATCCATTTTACAGCTGAGTTCTTGTTCAGAAACATCAGAAAGAAACAGCATCTGTAATGACTGATGGATCTTCAGTGTCAGTTTGGCAAGTTGTCCTACTGTGGGTAGCTGCAGAAATATTTCATGTATGTTGTAGATTTAAAAACATTACTCATGTTTTCATTCAAGTGTCTGCATTTCTGACACAGATGTGACATATCTGTATATATTATAAATCAATACTATTTTTAACCACATATTTTGTACAAATATTCACATTAGCTCTGTATTTCAGTGAAAATCTATTATGGTATTAAACATTTTGGTGGAATTAGCAAACTCCTTGTCCATGCTTTCTTTTCATTTTATATCAGTTTTAAGGAGCTGAGCCGTTTCTTACATCCCAGACAAATATTATAGATGCCACTATTTAGAACAGTGCCTTAAATCCATATACACCTGTACCCTCTAGTGACTAATTCCAGCACTGCAGAAGCGTGCGAGTCACTTCTGTAGTTCCGCGGATCTCAGAATCTGAGTGATGAGAGGCCAAAGTTAAAGCTGAACCAACAGTAAATGTGAGCATGATTGTTTTTCCTAGCTAATGAGAGTAACTGTTAGCGTGGGGCAGCACACTGCTCTTCAAGGGCACCCCACCAGAGACTTCAACACACGCAGGTGCAATTTTATAATGGCTTTTTTATTTTTACCCCTTTCTCCAAAGCTTCTGGTGTGGGTCACTGTCAGAAATTGGATGACAAAGTTCATGCTACAGGTGTGGTCTAGTTCAGTTTCCTGTGTACAAAAGCCACATTCACACGGCTTCTACCAGTCGCAGCAGAGAGGTGTATTTCCAGCTTTGTACTAGTCTCAGTCTCATATCTGTCACAGAAGAACAGTAGTGAAGGGGAAAAAAACAGGTGTTAAGAAAACAAAGAAGCCTTGACCCCTACTTAGATACAATGATCAGACCTTGCCCTCTGGCCCAGGCTTGAAAGTCCCTTCCTGCACAAGCCTGGCCAGCTCACGGAATCACAGAATTATCTTGGTTGGAAAAGACCTTGAAGATCCTCCAGTCCAATCATGAACCTCACACTGACTGTTCTCAACTCCACCAGATCCCTCAGCGCTGGGTCAACCCGACTCTTCAACCCCTCCAGGGATGGAGACTTCACCACCTCCCTGGGCAGCCCATTCCAACGCCCAACAACCCCTTCTGGAAAGAAATGCTTCCTAATAGCCAGTCTAACCCTGCCCTGGCGCAGCTTGAGGCCATTCCTGCTTGTCCTATCGGGTGTTACTTGGTTCAAGAGACTCATCCCCAGTTCTCTGCACCCTCCCGTCAGGGAGCTGTAGAGGGCCAGGAGGTCTCCCCTCAGCCTCCTCTTCTCCAGACTAAACCCCCCCAGTTCCCTCAGCCGCTCCCCAGCAGACCTGTGCTCCAGACCCTGCACCAGCTCCGTTGCCCTTCTCTGGACACGCTCGAGTCATTCAATGGACTTTTTGGGGTGAGGGGCCCAAAACTGAACACAGGAATTGAGGTGCGGCCTCACCAGTGCCGAGCCCAGGGCTCAGATCCCTTCCCTGTCCCTGCTGGCCACGCCAGTGCTGACACAAGCCAGGATGCCATTGGCCTTCTTGGCCACCTGGGCACACTGCTGGCTCCTGTTCAGCCGGCTGTCAATCAGCACCCCCAGGTCCCTCTCTGACTGGCAGCTCTCCAGCCACTCCTCCCCAAGCCTGTAGCGCTGCTGGGGGTTGTTGTGGCCCAAGGGCAGCCCCCGGCATTTGGCCTCATTGAAACTCCCCCAGTTGGCCTTAGCCCAGGGATCCCATGAAACCAAGCTGTAACTACACAGAAAGGAGGGGAGGGAGCCAGAATCTACCTGGATTACAGCCTGTACATGGGTCATATGTAACCCTCTTCTACCTGCCCCAAAATGGGGTAAGGTTTGTGTACATACACAAGGTGTGGGCTTCAGACCTGTATGTACCATGGATAATCAACTAGTAAAGGTGAGAAACCCAGCTTGGACCTTTTCGCCTTCAGCAGTTCAGTTTCTAGTGAGATGAGGAGGAATAAATTGATTTTCCTCTTTGTTTAAGGGCCTGGCTTTGGGTCTTGAACATCACAACATGGGAAAAAGTATCTGCCAGGAAAAAAATGGAAAATTTAGAGCCTCAGAACATAAGAGAAGGAAAAAGGCATATAGACAGACATGTTAATATTTTTTTTAATCATTATTATTTTAAACTGCAGAAGCACTTGCAGATATCCAGAAAGTGAATTTTGATCCTGGCCTTTACAGGGTCAGAGCACAGCTAGCCCAGCCTGGGACCAATTTCTTGTCTATTTTAAGCAATTCCATGACACGCAGCAACACCATTACAACTTGCCCAGCTTTAGACCTGCATAAGCACTGTACGGGCAAGCCCCTGCTCTTGCGAAACTTCTGTGCTCCTCAAAGTTGGAGAAAATGTCCCCCAAGACAGCTCCCTGCTGTGCCACCTGCTGGGGTCACCTCACACTGGGCTGCCTCCCATGTGGGAAAGGTCTGGTTGTCCCTGGCAGCTGCCTTCTCAGGGGCAGCTGAGAGTCATAGAATCATAGAATGGTTTGGGTTGGAAGGGACCTTAGGGATCACAACCAGTTCAAACTCCCGTGCCAT